TTTCAGTAAAACTTCTTTCCCAATTGATTACATTCTTGTCTATCCAGAAACTAACATTCCAGAGTAGCTTATTTATTAACCACCTTCATCTTCTGTAAAATGGCACCATAGTCTTGGCAGCCTGGATATACTATTATTATTCACTGACCAGAGTAACAAACTCCACTGTAGATCTCTTGGAATAATTTAAACATCTTAGATTTCACCAGGGTAGAGCTAAATTTGTACTATAAAAGGCAATAAGACTATTCACACACACACACACACACACACGTGCTGTGTGCACACACACGTGTGTGTCTGAATTAAATGATTAAATCATCAAGCTGTGAACATACCTAACCTGAATAACTGTGAGATCTGATTCCTGTAACCTTTTTCCTGCCTCATGGCGTCCTTTGTTTGCAGTTTGTTGTGTTACTCACTTATGTTATGTTGCAGATTAGAGTTTAAACTCTTCCAGGCAAGGAACTTGTCTTCCTATCTACCCAGTAAGGCATCTAACACCTAAAAATAATACAGAGTAACAATAAAGGATTTGTGAACATTCATTTGAATGGAGAATCACCAATTCACTTCCATTATAGTATCCCTTTTTATTCACTTTCCATAAGCATTCATTAGTGATTTGTTTGTTCACAGGAACGTTTGTGGAAAACATGAGAATGTTTGCACTAGATACATGCCCAGAAATGTTTGTGATCGTCTTGCAATTACTTTCATTTCCTTCCTTCAGGCTATAAATGTTTTGGTCATCTAATCAAGGAGCAGAAGCAATGCTCCTTGCAAATTGCAAAGCAAATTGGTGGCCAATACACACTACAAATGAAACAGTCAAAGAGATTCATTTGCAAATAACCATAGTCTGAAAGATGTTCACATAAAGTGATCAAGTGGACAAACTCATAAAAAACAATATCTATTGGCAGATTACTCACAAACTGAAATTCATTAAATATTAATAATTTGCCCCAGTTTAACCATCATGTTGCAGCAAATGCTACATTCAAGAGCAGTTGGCTTAGAAGTCTAAGCCCAGCACATTTGAAATGTCCAGATCCAATGAATCCATCAGCATGAATCCAGACATCAACCCAAGTTTTCATCCCTCTACAGTAGATGCATTGAGTTCCAGGGAGAATACTGAACGCAGGTCTTTCAGATGAGAATTAAAAAGCAAGGTCACTCTGCGTGGATATTAAAGATCACATGGCTCCATTTAATTAAAAATAACAGTATAATCAAAGGTATCCTTGGTCAGAATTCCTCCTACCAATACTTACGTTTCTGTCAATTGTCTCTCTCTCTTGTCCCCAGAGTTTATAGGGTGGATGTACAGTAGTTACGCCACTGTGAGCATTTTGTTTCCTGTGCACCACATCTTTAAATTTCAGAGTAGTCTCTCTATGTGCCATTTTGTTCTGAGAGCTCAGCACAGCTTGGTTCTTTCTTGTTTAGATTAGTTAGTCATCAAAACAAAGGTATTTATTGTATACAGCAGTTTGTACAGCATTTGGAGGTACTCCAGGATGAAAGGAACTATGTAAATGGAAATTATTTTTATGAAGATTTCATATCATACACCACTGACACAGGAAAGGCATTATACATCTATTCAACGGACAACTCAAGGGCAATCCGTGAGCCACATTCAGCTAGCAGAATTCTAAAACATGGCCCACGCGCATCGTTCTCTCTTTTCCAGTGACTGCAGATTCCATTTTTTATAAGGGTATAAGAATCAGCTCCATTTCAGACAAGTTAAATATAGCCCTATAATGCCAAAACTGCCCAGGGCTGGGCAAAATCTGTGGTGACTTTGCTCTACTTGGAAACCACTGTGGAAGGTGAGGGGAGAAATCCTTCACAAACAGTCTAGGCAATCCTGGAATGAAGAGCCATAAATCTTTTATCTGGAGGCCCTTCATTATTCTATTGACATCAAAGCACTAAGTCTTCTTTATGATGGTCCTTACTTCACATATGGTACCAACAAGTTTGGAGGAGTTGGAAGCAATTCAGATAAAAAGGATCCCATGAAATGAATAGGCTAATTCCCAAACCAGTCTGGCTTCTGCTTGCTCTAAACAGGTGCTTATATACACTTTTAAAAAGTACAGAGCTGAAAGAACTGTTTGGCAAAGGAAAACACCTGAAAGGGAAGTGACTTCTTCAACACTCTGATATCTTAAGTGCAATCCAGATTTATTGTACTGTGGCTAATGTTGAAATTCATTTGATGTATTTACAGCGCTGTTACTCTGTGTTATGTCTTCGAAGAATGTGATGACCAAATGCCACACGGCCTCCTCAGAAATGCACCATAGACTTAATAAATACATAAATAATCTGACATTTCTTTGACATTTATTGACTTCCCAGAGGCTCATGGTATATGAAAGATAGGCCTCTGGAATTTTAAACAGTGTCTGACTGGCATAGTTAGGAAAAAAAGACTTCTTATACCTATAATCCAAGATCCAAAGAGGGTATAAGAAACTGAAAGTGAGAAGATAGGGATGGATATTGACAAGATTTTAATGCTGGAGATATACAGGCACCGGTCTCCCATTCAGAGATCTAAATCAATTTATAATGTAGACAGCCCATCAGTTAAACCTCATCTATCAGGATGAGCTATAAATTGTGTTTGGTTTCCAGAGTTTGCAAAGTTTCTATGGAATTCAGGGCTGGGTGTGTGAAGGTGAGAAAGGTTTTTTTGCTGTCAATACGTTGCGGTTTTTCCCTTGTCCATTGAACTATACCAGCATCAGTGTAAGGCAGGTTTAGGAATAAGAAAATGCTGTTTGGTTTTGTTTTCAACAGGGCTACCTACCTTTTCATCTAATAATATTTTTCAATAGGTAGACTGAGGCATTTTAAGAGAAACAAGTGTGACCGGTATTCAGTCTTCCCACTAGTGCTCTTAAAAAAAGCTATTTATAATTATAACCAGATTTTGAGAGAAAGGGAGGCAGAATAATAAAGGCAGTGAGCGCAATTCCATAAAACAATAGGCTCATAAAATGATCATATGTTTCTCAGTGATACAACCCTCCCCCGCTGAAAATGTGGCGTTAGATGAAAGTGCCATGCGGGTCTGTGTGATATACTGAGTTTCAAAGTCATAAATGCAAAAGGAGTTGGGGGGACGGGTTAAAGGAGGATGGTAAAGACAATGGAAGAACTCAATAAAAGCCAGTTCAATAATGGCCTTCATAGCACTTGATTTATTGTTTTTAATAAAGTATATTAAAGGCCATGTTTGAATACACCATGGTGTTTTATTTAGTTAATTTGCTGTGGGACAAAAGATGGTGTTTAACAAATGCCTGTTATTAACAAAGGAATAAATGAGTTCAGAACTTCCTCCCATGAGAGCCAAAAATGACCACAACGCAATAGGCAAGACTCACCGCACTGCCATAGCATTCCTGTTACACTAATGAGCATTATCTCTGCCTGCTCTGACAATGGAGGAGAGAAGGACAAGAAGAGTGAATGAAGCTTCCTATAATTCTCACTGTGACTGGAAAGAGAGGCCTGCTTCTAGATCGTTCATAAGGATTGGTGTAATTTTGGAAGATGATCACATACTATGGTGCTGAGTAAAAGATAAATACCTCAGGTGACATCCTAGCCCCAGTTAAGTCAATGGCAAAATTCCCAGTGAAGTCACAGTGAGGCAAGGATTTCACCCTTAGATTAGATCAGATAGAAAGGCAGTACTAGATCCAGTTATGTACATAGAGAGTCTGAGCAACATGAGTTAGGTAATAAGAGGGATAAGCTGTTTTCTGGGACTATTATTTTGGAAAATAAATTAGCTTCACAAGATGAGTCTAATTCTGGTCCATTCCTTTCTAGAGATAAGTCTGGACTGAATTCTTGGATCCAAATTTTGCAACTGGGCCCATCTTTTCCTACTGAGTTAAACCAAAACCCTGACTCCAAATGACCTCAAACTTTGGGTAACTTTGTATCCTAATTTCATGGCTCTGACTCATCTCTGTGCCATTCACCCATTCAAACCCAACACACTTCATCACCCACCGTTTGCCACCAATACCACATGGGCACTGGAGTTGAATCCAGAAGATGCTGTAACTTCAATGCACTTTTAAAAGAGTTCTAGATGACAGCTAGAGGAAAAGCTTCTGACCCAACACTTGTCCATCAGAAAATGCTAATTCAACAAAATTGAAACTTATGATGGAAACCAGGCAGGTACCCTAGCCAGCCTGCCTCCTTTCCCGCTTGGGCTTTGCCAGCAACCTGGGCAGATGCCTCCCCAGGCTGCAGGGAACTGCCCCTAAGGGCTTCCCAGGTAAACATCTCCCAGGGGAGCCTGATAGCATAGGGAGGCAGCTGTCCAGGCCTCCAGCTCCCTGGGGACTTTGGCACACAGACATAGCTGCTCAAGGAGCTGAGCTGGTTCCCAACTCCCTGCGCAGCTGTTCCCCATGCTGCTTCACACACACACACAGGGAGCTGGCTACCTAGGGAGTCTGGCCTCCAGGAGCAAGCTAACCATCTCCATTTCGGTTCTCCCACAATGGAAGTTTTTCAGAATTTTCCCTCCATTTTTATTATCATCTTTGTACTTTGTGTCCCAATTTAAGATGAAAAAATTCCCTCAAAACGGAAATTTTCCACTGGCGGGAAATTCCATTGTCTGGCCAGCTTTGCTCTAGCTCTAAAGGTGGGGTGTGGTGCCCATCAGATAAAATGTGAAAAGGGGGTCCTTTCAACCCGTTCTGGGGTGCTGTCCAGATGAAAGTGAAATGCTCCTATGGCTCTTTGCAAAACAGCTGGATTTCTCTGATGTCTTGGCCACAACTCTCTGTCTCTTAGCAGCAGCAGCAGTCTTCCAGCACCAAGAGCTGTGCTTGAGCCATTGTTGAGCACATAAGGGCTGTGGCATTTTACTTCAAAATCGCTGCACTACCATAACAGTCCCAGACATTTCATTCCAGTTCTGCAAAGTGAATTCCATTGAGTAACACTGACTCTCTCTCATACAAGCAACTCCAGGCCTTCAGACGACAACACGTTTTCAAGGACATGGGGTATATAAAGCACTTTGATAGATGATTTTCTATTCTCTGGTACAATCATATGTTTACCCTTGTACTAATACTCAGCAGCCTCACAGCACTTTTTATCTATAGGTTTCAAAGTACTTTACAAAGGTGGGGTAGTGTCATTAACCCCATTTTACAGATGGAGAACCTGAGACACAGAAAAGTCTTACCAAAGTCAGTGGCAGAAGACTGCACATCGCCTAACTCCAAGTCTGGTGTCCTGTTCACTGACAACCCTGCCTCCCCCAGCAAGTCACAGTTGTCCTACTGCCGATAACAAGGCAATAGTTTTCCCTGTCGTAAGCCCACCAATTCACATTGCTGTATCAGGCTGGTTGCTCGGTTACACTCCAAATAGGCCCTGCACATAAAATGGAGACTAACAATGAATGGCATGTTAAGATGGCACAATTCTATTGTCTGGCTCTTCAGATGTTTTACCACCTTAAATTGAACTCAGTGACAAACACAAGTAACAATATTGCCTTCACTAAAGTGTCTTGCACAGGCACAGAACACTAATGGAACGTGAACAGAAAACTTGCACGTATGAAGATACCCAGTGTGGGATTTCCAGAAGTGCTGAAGCTGCCCTCCCAAGCAGGTTCAGGGCTTACTGCAGTCAGTGGGAGCACCAGGTCCTTGCTACCTCCGGAAATCAACAAGCTCATCTAATCCATCTTGTTGTGAATTCAGGATTGCTCATGACACTGTATTCTCAAACACTGCATGTCACGGTCTAGTTTTAAAGCATGGTTCAGGAGATAGCTCAGTGGTTTGAGCATTGGCCTGCTAAACCCAGGGTTGTGAGTTCAATCCTTGAGGGGGCCATTTAGGGATCTGGGGCAAAAATTGGGGATTGGTCCTGCTTTGAGCAGGGGGTTGGACTAGATGACCTCCTGAGGTCCCTTCCAACCCTGATATTCTATGATTCTAAGTCATATATGTCTGGTACAGCATTTTCCTTGTCCTAAGAGTGTTCTCTGGTGTGTATAATGTATGGATCTCTTAGGCATCAGGATTGTAGTAAGGCTCTGTTACTAGAACTCCTTACTATTAGCTTTATATTATATACTGTACAGGGGAGCAACCCAAGTGCTAGCCAGCAGTGGTTCAGGGGGGCCAGACAAGGGGACTCAGCATTACAGAATGGGAGCCAGAATTACAAGCTCCCAGCTGCTGGTAACCACTGATTTAGATCAGCAGCTCACCCTGGCTCTTTCTTATCGCTCAGGAACTAAAGTTCTTTCTTAAGTAAATTCCCTTACTAATTAATCCCACACAGAGCATCTCAAACCATCACAAACATGCTGCCAAGCTGCCTCCTTGTGCTGACTCCACACACAGTGCAGTAATCAGGCTCAGTATCCTGGTGTTATCTTGCTTAGTGAGGCAGACCTATATAACTCACCTGGCTCCAAAGATGCTTGTAAATAACTGCTGTCCTCCACAGGCCCTGTGCTGCCTTGGGATCTCTCTTCCACCGGACCGTGTATTCTTCGCTTATCCAAGCTTTTTTGGTAAGCAATTGGCCTTCAGATTACTGTAAGCAAAAGGAAAAGGCCATCAAAGTTTAATGATCATATTTCAGTACCTCACTGCTTAATGGAAACTTTGGTTTCTGGCCCTTATGCAGTAGAACCCAGTTAGTCCCAGGAACAAGAGCAGAGAAATGCAAATGAAGATTTGAAACATTGGCAGAAGAGCACGTACCTTCAATCAAAGGAAAACAATAGGGGAAAGGGTCATGACCAAAGAGTACAGGATACCTAAGGAACTATAAAAGCTGGCCAATAAAATTAAATGGGATTTCAACAAGGAAATGCATCAAAACATAAATGAGCAATATTGAGGTTATAAACCAAGTGTCTATAGTTCTTCAAAGCAGATCAATCCCCTAGGCTCCATGGCAATCCAAATAAATCACCATCATCATCATCAGAGGGATTTGGCACACTTGGAAGAGGTTACCTTCCTCCCCTTCCCCCAACACCTTCTTCTCTGTAAAAGCTCACATGAACAGCCAACCATGAGCCTTCAGATCCCCAAAGCCTTCAGATCCCCTAAAAAGGATGAGTTTCCTCTCCAGAAAATCAGGCTTACAGGACACTCCATACTCCTATGAAAAAGAATGACTCCCCTTCAAGTGTGTCAGATTCTACAAGCAGAGCCGGTGCTAGGGATCAGGAGACTAAGCAGTTGCTTAGGGCCCTGAGCAGCTTAAGGGGGCCCCCATTCATTTTTTATTATAAGAACTTGCCTGTTTTAGTATTGTGTAGGGAAGCGGGCGGGGGGGGGGGGGGGCTGAAATATTCCTGCTGAGGGCGTCCAATGGGCTAGCACCAATTCTGTCTACACGTACTTCTGTAATCGCAACAAAAATCAAAACTGTTTCTCACATCATCCTTCTGGGGGACAATGCAAAATAATGACCTTTCATGTCAGATTCTTAGATAATTGTTCTAAATTCCACTGTGTGTTTTGCTTTGACTATCACCGTTCCCTGCACTGTTCTGCCGTGCTAGGCTCCCTTTGCGCCGGCCAATCAATGCATAGGGAACAGAGACTGGCTGTCTCCCTTGAGCTGGGGATTCCCCTCAAATGGGAGACATTCTCAAGAGAATTGAGCTGGCGTAGCCAGTTTCCAGCTCCCCTCCCAACCACCCCAATTCAGGTGGCATGTCAGGGACAGTGAAGGATGTCCTCTTTGCAACGAAGGAAGCTAACCCGTAATGAATATAGAAGTGAAGAGCTGGACAGTAACCTAAGGAATCTTTTGGAAGCCTGACACAAATTAGAGAGTTGCTTTCCCAGGACTTGAAGAGGAAGCTCATCTGCCTCTCTGACCTCTATGACTAAGTAATTCTGACTGTCTGCTGAGCCCTCTTGCTGGCCCTGCATCCTCTTCAAACCTATCCTCGCCTTCAGGAATCTTCCCTGTTGACCTCCCAGCTCTCATCTCCTGCCTCTCACCTATGCTACACTCTGCCAGTTCCACTTCTCTTCAGGGTCTCTTTACATCGTCGCCCTATACCTGTATACATGCTTTCTCCTGCGATGCCACTCCCCAAGTCTAGATCCACCTCTTTGAATATGGAAGTGCCTTGAACAGGTTAAACCATGTAACCTCTTCCTCTGCAATCAAACCCTACCCCTTTTGTCTCTGATTTCGCTCCTCGCCCTTGTCCCAAAGATGTTAAAATAACATTTAAACACAGAGAAACCTCCCTCTCAAAAAAAAAAACAAAAAAAACCACCCAACTGCGGACACTATGAGAACTAGCAAACTCATGACCCTATTTTGTGTAAAACTCGCCCTTCTCTTACTTGCTGCCCTTGGTCATTGTTTTGTCTAATCTAGGCCTCCATCCCAAAACTGCATATGCAAGTGCAGACTCTCCCTCCTGCAAAGTCACATCAAAGTAAATTGGTCTTTCGGCAGCCATAAGGGTCTGGCCAGTGGATTCCTTTGCAGGATCAGAGCCTTACAATGCCAATCTCTTCAGGGCAGTGACTATGTTTTGTAACTTCCTCTAAAGCAAAATTCAAATGCATGGTGCTCTAGAAATAATAATCATACATTTCTTAATAGGAAGATAAGGGAGGGTGGATTTTTAAGACTTGCACAACAACTAACTTACACCTGCCTGCTTCTGTCAACAATTGGAGGCTTTGGGTTTTTTTATTTTAAATTACTTAGCACCAGACAAACCCATGTGGGTAACAGATGCTTTATGAAGCACTTGCTTTGTTTAGCTTAATCTGTGTAGAGCAGATACAAAATTAGTAAGAGGTGAATGAATATTCCTTGTGTGAGCAGCAACAGGTTTTGTGTGCATGAAGTCTTCCATAGTTTCAACCTCATCTTTTCCCACAAATAAAACTGTATCTGTTCCACATTTTCACAGCTGAGAGAGGCTGGCTCTTAATCTACTGAAAACACCAAATATTTCTTCGTTATAGTAACACTGCCATCTAGTGGCTCTGGGGTGAAACAGAAGTTTTTCTGCCTTCAAGAACTTGTCACAAAAGATAAAAAGTCGTAAGGTTCCTGTCAACCCTCTATTTTTCATTTGGAAACCAATCTTTGTGATACCTCTATAGATTTTTCTGAGTACAGCTCAGGCTAGCTTTAATGAGGTTTTCTTGTAGCCTGAAGTATGTGCTAGCCCTCTTGACTGCCCTGGCTGAGTGGTGTTTTTCAAATATTGTGTCAGTCACACTCAATGAACTGGAATAGCATTGCTGTTTATCCGTTTTCAGTTAGGGCTAAGAGGCTTTACATGGGGGAATAGGATGCCAGTGTGGAACTTGCACCAGTAACTTAGCAACAAATGATCCTTTTTCCTTAACTCCAGTGACGTGATTTTTAAAAGGAGGCCAGAGATGTGAGTGTATTGGCTGGGCCTTTGGTTTTGCTCTCAGACCATCTAGGGCTTGCATACTGGCCAGATACTTTTTTTCAGACCTAGAGAATCCTGGCAGATTCTCACGGATTTGTGCGGTTCCCGGGGGACACACCAGAGGCCAAGGCCATCTGTGGGGAGACCCTTTGTGACTCTACAGCAGCTATGGGCCGCAGTGGGCCCTCATGAGCACTGTGTCCATGTGCCTTGAAAAAGAGAAAGCCATCCTTCAGAGCCACTCGAGACAAGTTTGTCTCTCTACAGCATCTGTATTATTGTACCCATTTTCTAATGAGGAAATTGTCAAGAATAACACCCAAATAGCCTATCAATACCTGCTAAAGACTAAAAGACAAACACCCACACACACACACACAACCCACCAATGTTTTAATCAACATGTTACTTAAATGAAAGCCAAAGAAACTTCTGCAAAGTGGTTTCTGTTTTGAAATGACCTAGTATGGCTAAGTACCCCCAGCAGAAGCCTTCAAAGGCATCAGGGAAGCTGGCAGGCAGAGAATTGCAGTAATCAGTCTTTGAAATGATAAAAGCCAGGCAGCACCTTTCCTGTACCAGGCTGCATCAAACAATTTGCTTGCAAAAGATTTTGGTGGTAAAGGGACAGATGATAAACAGGAACCTGAAAGGAAAGAAAAAAGTAAGTTGGAGACTGTTAACACCTCCCACTCCTGATCATATTGGGAAGGCTGACCCAAAATCCAGAAATTGTTTTTTAAATGGGTGGAGGAAGAGAATGAAGGAAAGGAATTAAAATGATCAGAATCTATTTTTACACTTAAAGTGTCATTCCCAATGTTCTCTGGAGAATAGACAAAAGCAAGAGACATGTATAATAGATCTCTATCCCATACAGTAAATGTAATATGATCTTAAAACTAGCGCTCAGGATTTTGTTCTTGTAGCCACCATATATATAGTCTGTGTGATGAGCCGAGTTCTCCTATGATTTATGATCAATAACCCACTAGCTGAGCTACCCTCATTTTCTTATGCATGGGATCTCTGACTCTTCTTCACAATGCACTAGTTTAATTGTAATTATACTACAAAAGCTGGATTACAATGAAAACCTTTTCAGTCCCACTACCTGTACAGTGGTAAGGGAAAACCCCAAAAGTGACTATTAAACTTAACAAGTGGAGGGAAGGTAAACTAGCTCTAAGGGATTGACTTTTAAAAGACAGACAAAAAACATTAAAGTCTCTATTTATAGTTTGGCTAAACAATTATTTGGGCATATAATAGCCTCTATAAATATTTGTAGTTTGGAAGATGTAAACTGTATGGATGGAGAAAAATTCTTTAGAATGGTAGCAAGCATTATAAAGAGTATATTTAGGATAAATATTAGGAAAATTTTCCTGGTGTTGAGATCTATTGAGCTGAACAGTTGTGAACCAGGGAATTCTTGGTGCCAATTGGCAGAGGGCATGCATAGGATTTTACAGGGATTCACTGTGTTGAATATATACATAATAATTAACTAAAGAGTGACATGTGAGGTGTCTACCAAGAGCCAGCACCCCTCTGATCATCATAAGCAGTCTGAAATGTATATACGGATAATATTTAAGGAATTAGGAGTCTGTACTGAAAATTATGTTCTTAAGGCAGATAACCAGGGGGTGACTTGTCTTGGATAAGTTCCTTTCAAGGAAGAGGTAATAGACTTATGTCTGTCTGGTTGTATATATTGGGTACTGTCTCTCTCACAATGGACGCCTGTTTACATACTGAGCCAAAAGCCATCAAGAGATTGGAAAATCTTCAAGAGAGGAAATTTACAGAAAGAACAAAATAGCAGGAGAGGAGCCTTTCTGAGTATAATGAGTAGATTTGGGGGGCATATCTGGGGGTGCAGAGTATACCTGGATCTTTCACTGAGGAGGCAAGCTAACAGTATGTGGCTTATGAACAGAGGATCACTGGCTGTAAAACTCTGGAAGGACAGTTGGTTAGCCTTATTCTATAACAAGTGAAAGTATCTCATTAAGGCTAGGTTCTAGAATGCCTATTATGATTTTATTGTATATGTAACCATTTGTTTCCAATACTTCTACCTGTTATCACTTGAATCTCTAGACTTCGTTAAATAAACATTGACCTGTTTTCACTATAAACATATCTAAGTGCTGTGTGTTAAGCAGGGCAGCAATCTGAAGTGTACTTGGTAAGCTGGAAAGTATGGCTTCTGTGAATAATGCAAGCGTCCAGTGACACAGGGGCTGGGTACTCCAGGAAGGTGCTCGGAGAGTTCACGAGTTAGTGCCTATCACTAACCTGGAGGGGCTGGGGCCTGCGGCCTGCAGCAGTCTAGAAGGGAGTGCTTGTGTTCCCCATTGCTGGTGGAGCTGATCTACACAGGCATAGACAAGACTTCTTCATACTAAGGGCAGGTTGTAGCATAGTGCCCCAGGCACCCCCTGAAAGTGTCACAACAGTCACCCAAAGGACATCAGGAAAAAATTTAAACTAAACAGCCCCATGCATTCAACATGCTGTCAGGGATGATCTAGGCTGAGCAGAAGGGACTAACCCAGTTAATAGAGGATTTACCAGTCCCTATCATACCAGCTGGAGTAAATGGGCAATATATATGTATTATGCTGATAATACTACCCACAATATATATTTTAAGCATTTAAGTGTACATATTATTAAGCATTATTATAGTAGTTATATAGGCCATATTTGCCTACACTTTTGTTATAATCCTGTACACTTATGCTAAGTATCCCATAACACCTTGCATTAGCTGAAGCAAACCTTGGCTTGAGTTACTAGGAAAACTGTCTGTCAAGAGAGATGATGATTTCTTCATGGCAACAGGAAAGGAATTATCCACAGAAATATAGCAGGTACCTTCATGCTCCTTAGTACCTGGAATGCCTGGGTTCAGAACAAAAAATAAAGAGGTATCAAACAAAGTAGAAAGCGGATTAATTAAATCCAGTTTCAAATGACATACAGTACCGTTTACTGCTACACAAGTAGGGTATAAAAGGATGGCTTTAGAGATGCAAATTCAGGGAGCACACCTTCTGCCTAAGGTGAATGTAACGTTGCCACAAAGGATTGGTCTTCGGAGACTGGTATTGTAGAGAACCTTTTTCCTATACCATATTAATAAACCTGACAGACATTGGTTATTTGGTCTCTTGAGTATATGTGATAATGAAATAATGAACCAAAGTGTGGTCAAGCTGGCTAGATCGTTGGGCTCAACAGGTAGTGATCAACGGCTCAATGTCTAGTTGGCAGCCGGTACCAAGCGGATTGCCCCAGGGGTCAGTCCTGGGGCCGGTTTTGTTCAACATCTTCATTAATGATCTGGATGATGGAATGGATAGCACCCTCAGCAAGTTCGTGGATGACACTAAACTTGGGGGGAAGAGGTAGATAGGCTAGAGGCTAGGGATAGGGTCGAGAGTGACCTAGACAAATTGGAGGATTGGGCCAAAAGAAATCTGATGAGGTTCAACAAGGACAAGTGCAGAGTCCTGCACTTAGGACGGAAGAATCCCATGCACTGCTACAGGCTGGGAACCAATTGGCTAAGCAGCAGTTCTGCAGAAAAGGATCTGAGGATTCTAGTGGACGAGAAGCTGGATATGAGAGTCAACAGCGTGCCCTTGTTGCCAAGAAGGCTAACGGCATATTGGGCTGCATTAGGAGGAGCATTGCCAGCAGATCAAGGGAAGTGATTATTCCCCTCTATTCGGCACTGGCGAGGCCACATCTGAAGTATTTCATCCAGTTTTGGTCACCCCACTACAAAAAGGATGTGGACAAATTGGAGAGAGTCCAACAGAGGGCAACAAAAATGATTAGGGGGCTGGGGTACATGACTTATGAGGAGAGGCTGAGGGAACTGGGCTTAGTTAGTCTTCAGAAGAGAAGAGTGAGAAGGGATTTGATAGCAGCCTTCAACTACCTGAAGGGGGGTTCCAAAGAGGATGGAGCTAGGCTGTTCTCAGTGATGACAGATGACAGAACAAGGAGCAATGGTCTCAAGTTGCAGTGGGGGAGGTCTAGGTTGGATATTAGGAAAAACTTTTTCACTAGGAGGGTGGTGAAGTACTGGAATGGGTTACCTAGGGAGGTGGTGGAATCTCCATCCTCAGAGGTTTTTAAGGCCTGGCTTGACAAAGCCTTGGCTGGGATGATTTAGTTGGTGTTGGTCCTGCTTTGAGCAGGGGGCTAGACTAGATGACCTCCTGAGGTCCCTTCCAACCCTGATATTCTATGATTCAAGCAATCAGCCATACAATCAACAGAGGATGATCAGCAGAAGTTGTGCAACAGCACAGAGGATGAGGCATGATCTCCTATGGTTTGTGATAGATAGGCCACTAGATGAGCTATCCTTGGTTTCTTATGCATTTGGATCTGACTTAAGTCTTTTCTATCAGTAGTTTCTAAAATGTTTAGGCCATTATTCTTTGTTAGTTATTTGGACCCTGCTTCAAGAATGTACTTAAACATGTGCCTAAATTTAAGCACACTCACTTCAGTTGGACTATTTACACACTTAATTAGGGACATTGTTAAGTACCCTCCTCAACAGAGGCTCCAGCAGAAGTCATATTTTCCTCTTGGAGAAGGGTGGTTACAAAGGTTTCTTTAGAAGGGTTCTTTTTAAAAGCTGCTTTCTTGAGTGCTTTTTCTGCAGAAACCCAATATAATCCTAGTTCTTCAATAAACTGGGAGTAATTGGATGATTCCATCTGCATCTTCATGGCAACATAGATACCATGGAACTACAGAAATAATTGATGAAGTTTCAGTGTGACTGAAGTACCAGCAGACGGAGAGAGAACAGATCCTTCACTGTGGTCCTAGACCTCGGTGTGAGAAAACAGCTACATATTAATAAAGGTTATTTGATCCATTGTGCCAACAAAGTCCATCTCACCTGGGTTGGATGGGGAAGTATGATGCTTGAAGCCTGCTCTTCCATCTAGATAATGTAACCCAAGAACATTGTCGTGCCAGATCTGCATATGTGACACACTGGCAAGGCGATAATAAGTGGACAGTTTTTCACACTAACAGGAGAGTCTCTGTCTGCGGAGATGCACAAAGTCATTCCCTCTTTTTGCTATCTCATTCCCCAAAACATTTGGTTCCATTACTCAAGATGGAGGGAATGACATGGTAGGAGGTAAAAATTAGTTTGATCAGGAAAGAGAGTGGGGTAACAGATGATCAGGCCCTAGGAGAAGTGATTTCTGAGGAAAGGTTAAGAGAGTCACATAACTTCGGCTAAGAGGTAAGGAATCAAACATTTAAATTAGTATTAGTTGTATTATGGTAGCACACACTGAAACCAACAGAGAGCAGGGCCACAGTGTGATAGGAACTGTAGAAAAGCATAACAGAAATGGCCATTGCCCCAACACTTACAATCTAAATAGACAAGACAGGCTCAGAAGTGAAATGAAGTGACTTGACCAAGGTAACACAGCAGGTCAGTGGCAGAGCAAGGAATTGTAATGCTGGTAAGGAACAAGCTTCAGAGGAGAAGATAACAGGTTGTGCTGCAAAGAGAGCTACTGGGCTGGAGGGAGGTTACTGGTGGAGTTCCTCAATTATTGGACTTGGAACCCAATGACCTAGGCACAAGAAGTAGGAATATACTAATGCAATTTGCTGACAGTACAAAGTTGGGAGGTATCATCAATGCAGAGGAGGATCCAAGTATTACACAGGAAGACCTGGATTTGCTTGAGGACAGGAGTAATAGAAATGGGAATTAAATGTAATAGTACAAAGTGCCACATCATGCACTAAGGAACTAACAACAAGAACTTCTGCTAGAAGCTGGGGACTCATCAGTTGGAAGTGACAGAGGAGGAGAGAGACCTGGGTGTGTGGGTTGATCCTCAGTTGTATCAGGCAGGGCATTTCATTTAGAGAGAGAGAAGTATTCATGC